GGGGATTCGGGCCGGCCTGGCGGGGGTTGGCGACAGGACTGCCCGCCGCCTGAGCTGCCCCTCGTCTCTCCTAGGCCGTCACCGACCTGGGCTGGTCGCGGCCCACGCTGATCCAGGAAAAGGCCATCCCGCTGGCCCTGGAGGGGAAGGACCTCCTGGCTCGGGCCCGCACTGGCTCGGGGAAGACGGCCGCCTATGCCATTCCTCTGCTGCAGCTGCTGCTCCACAGGAAGGCGGTGGGTCGCGGGGAGGAGCCCCAAGGCGGGGGTGGGAGATGCAGGCGCTGAGTGTCCGTCATGCTCTTTTGGAAAGTCGTGTCGTTGTCCTGAGTCTTTTTCAAGAACCAGCCTTTCTTTTGGCTCTTTACCTGTGAGGGATGGCCCCAGAGAACCTAGTGCTGTGGTGGCAAACGTTCGGGGCTGGAATTCAAGTCACCTGGGTCCTGCTCCAGGCCCTTCTTGAGTAAATCACTTTATTTTCTTTCTGCTGTAAAAACTGGGCTTGTTTCCTTTTTCTACTTATAGGCTTTTGTGAAACTCCAGCCCCCTGGTTGGTGCATTTTAAGCAACTTGATAACCATAAAGTAATTTACCCTTTTTGAGGATCAGCACCTAGGAAAAGAGCCGTCTGTTTCACTCTGAGGTGGGGAGAAGTAAGCGCTGCATTGTGTTCAAGTCACAGCAGTTGGGTCAGGTTGCTGGAAGGGTTAGAGAACACCAGACGGCCACGATGACATGAACTAATTTCCCGAAGTCTTTAATTCGTGCTCTTGCAGACCGGCCCCGCCATGGAGCAGGCTGTGCGCGGTCTTGTCCTTGTGCCCACCAAGGAATTGGCTCGGCAGGCCCAGTCCATGATTCAGCAGCTGGCTGCCTACTGTGCCCGAGACATCCGGGTGGCCAATGTCTCAGCTGCTGAGGACTCAGCCTCTCAGAGGTGGGTGAAAAGCCCCTGGGCTATAAGGGAATGAAGCTGCACTGAGATGTGGTGTTGGGTTTGTGTGCAGCAAGAAAGGGAGCTGGTCCCGGGTGAGCTCCCAGCTGTGGTCCCAGCTGTACCTTTTCTCTGACACTGAGGCGTTGCGCACCTGCAGAGCTGTGCTGATGGAGAAGCCAGACGTAGTGGTGGGAACCCCATCTCGCATATTAAACCACTTGCAGCAAGACAGCCTGAAGCTTCGGGAGTCCCTGGAGCTGCTGGTGATGGATGAGGCTGATCTTCTCTTCTCTTTTGGCTTCGAGGAAGAGCTCAAGAGTCTTCTGTGGTAAGGAAGAGGTGTGTGGGGGCTGCGAGTGGAGGCCTGGGCCTGGGGCAGGTGGTCAGAAGTCCAGCCGCCACAATAGAAGCCCTTAGAGCTCGAGTCTGATGGGGCTCTGTTTTATTTTAGTCACTTGCCCCGGATCTATCAGGCTTTTCTGATGTCAGCTACTTTTAATGAGGATGTGCAAACACTCAAGGAGCTGGTACTGCATAACCCGGTGAGTGCCCTGGGCAAGTGTCTAGAGTCACTGGCATGTGACGTTCTAAGGACTTGACCCTCCCTGCTCAAAGGAGCCTTTTGATGTTTAGGGAGGACAGTTTTGGTATAGTTCCAGGTGTCCCCTAGGGGTTCAAACAATACTTCGCCTAGAGCCCTGATCAGGGACCCCCAAAGGGCAAAAAGGATGCCTTTAGCAGCAGGGCCAAAGTTCTCTACTTATGTGACCTCTGCACTTCAGAAAGGTTGTGGCTGTAGGGCGTCTGGTCTTACTGCAGTCATTTGTCTTCATTTCTCTTTGTAGTGTGCCCCGAACACTTTGCATGTAGTTTTATGTCTTTTGTACCGCACAGTAGTTAGGGCCTTTTGGATCCTTATACCAGCTGGAGGGGACCCTTGGTGCCCTGCATTAACACGTTTGCACTGTGGTTGGCAAGCTGGTGGCTTGTGGTAGTGTTTCTGTCTTCTTTCCTGACCACAGGCCTGTCCCCCCAGGTTACCCTCAAGTTGCAAGAGTCCCAGCTGCCAGGACCAGAGCAACTACAGCAATTTCAGGTGGTCTGCAACACGGAGGAGGACAAGTTTCTGTTGCTGTATGCCCTGCTCAAGCTGTCGTTGATTCGGGGCAAGTCCCTGCTCTTTGTCAACACTCTAGAGCGCAGCTACCGTCTGCGCCTGTTCCTGGAGCAGTTCAGCATCCCTGCTTGCGTGCTCAACGGGGAGCTCCCCCTTCGCTCCAGGTGTGCCGCAGCTGATATCTCGGTTGAAATACTTTGAAGATGGGATTGGAAAGGGGAGACTCAGTTGATATTCCTGTTTTTTAAGTGCTTAAAGGCCAGACTCTGGCTTTGACTTATATTCAGTTATTGTGTCACAAACTCTGAGATGCCCACTGTTCCTCTACAGCCGAGGGGGATGAGTCACAGATAAAGTAGGGGGGAGTTTCAGAAGAGGGAAAAGTCAGAAGGATGATGGTCATAGCAGTGCTGGGGCTGATGAGCTGCCTCCAGCTTGCTTTTGGGGCTGACCCTCCCCTCTTGGTCCACAGGTGCCACATCATCTCACAGTTCAACCAAGGCTTCTATGACTGTGTCATAGCAACTGATGCCGAAGTCCTTGGGGCCCCAGTCAAAGGCAAGCGTCGGGGCAAAGGGCTCAAGGGGGACAAGTGAGTATGTTTCTGTCCTTCCAGCCATCCCCAGGGAAATTGAAACCAGAGTGCCAGAGTGGGGAGCCAGGCCTGGCTGCTAGCATAGCCCACAGAGCCCAGGCTTGGCTGCTGGGCCTGGAGAAGGGGAGTGAAGGGTTCACATGGTCCCTGGCAGCACGAGGGGCCAGGCTGCTGGGTTGGCACACTAGCAAGGGAGACATCCCGGCCTGCATTGGGTGCAGCTGTGACATGGAGAGGGTAGTTCTGAGGGGGAAGGGATCCTGCAGTCTGCCTGCCTGATGGTGTTCTTGGATCACCCTGTCGGGCAGTGAATTCCCTTGTTGCCCTAGACCTTGAGGTTAGCCAAGGGTGTCGCTACCCCCTCTGCCTAGCTCCTGGAACAGTTCTGAACTTAGAGACTTACACTGCTAGGGTCCTGGGGCTCCACACAGCTTTGTTTGGAGATTCTGCTGATTAAATAAGCTTGAGAACACTAGCTGGGAGAGCAGGGGTGAATCTGCTATGGGGTGTTTCCTGCAGGGCCTCTGATCCAGAGGCAGGTGTGGCCCGTGGCATAGACTTCCACCACGTGTGTGCCGTGCTCAACTTTGACCTCCCCCCCAACCCCGAGGCCTACATCCATCGAGCCGGCAGGTAGGAGAGCTGATCATGGCAGGCCGGGCACCTGGACTGTGGGCAGTCCCAGGACTCAGGCCAAAGACATGGGCTGGGCCATCTCTCTTTGCAGGACGGCACGTGCCAACAACCCAGGCGTAGTCTTGACCTTTGTGCTGCCCACAGAGCAGTCCCACCTGGGCAAGATCGAGGAGCTTCTCAGTGGAGGTGAGAGCCAGGGCCAGGCTTCTCCCAGGATGCCTTAGACCCAGTGATGGTGACAGAGCAAGGACAGGAGTGTAGCTAGCCACCACCTACCTGCTTGGCCCTGCTTGCCCCACGTCCCTCGCTCCACCCTCTCCCTGCCCCTGGTGCAGGCACTGCCCCTTCACAGATGAGTGAGCCCAGAATCACATTTGCTGCCTGCCCAAGGGGCAGAAGGGCCAAGGGTGCAGAAGGGGGTTTTGGGAAATGGGGAAGAGGCTGTTAGTGTCTCAGGAGGCGGCCGTAGGAGAGAGCACTGTCGTGGAGCAGCCATGTGGTTTTCCAGGCTGTGAGAAGAGAATGGTGGAGGAGGGGTAGGCGGGCTGCCGACCACCAGGACATTAAGGGCACAGGGTCCAAAGTGGCCTTGGGGGAGGAGAGGGTGGCTGGGCTGGTCCTGAGGATGAGGGATGTGACCAGCACTCAGGACACGTGGACGTTGAGCTGCCAGGCTGTAGCGTCCTGGAGAACTGTTGTGCCTGTGGGCAAGACCCAGGTTTCTTGCCGTGTATGCACATCACCTCTTGGGGAATGAGCCGCGGGGTGCCAGCTGCCTCACCCTAGGGAGGGGTGCAGGAGGCTGTGGGTCTGCAGCCTGGGGGCCACTCACTGCTGCTGCTCCACAGAGAACGGGGCCCCCGCCCTGCTTCCCTACCAGTTCCGCATGGAGGAGATTGAGGGCTTCCGCTACCGCTGCAGGGTGAGTGGGCCAGGGCAGAGCGGTGGGTTCCTGTGGGAGGGGGACCGGGCAGCCCCAGTGCTCTGACCCTCCGCGTCCACCCAGGACGCCATGCGCTCAGTGACGAAGCAGGCCATCCGAGAGGCGAGGCTGAAGGAGATCAAGGAGGAGCTCCTGCACTCGGAGAGGCTGAGGGTGAGGAGGCGCCGGGCAGGGGTCACTGAGCTCAGTGCTGAGGCCTCAGCAGGTGGGGGCTTTTCAGCTGGGTGGTGACTGGAGGACGGTTGCCCTTCAGTGACGACGTCTGTGGATGTGCATGGTTAAACATGTGTCCAAGGTCGTCACAGCGTTGTGAGTTCAGAGGTGGGACATCTGAGCATCTCTGGCAGGGACGTGCTGAACAAAGCGGGAAGCACTGCAGACGGGGAGTGCTGTTTATTGTTGGTGTGGGAACAGTCCTGGATGGCGCCAAGTGACAAGAGTGCGCTGTGCTACTGGGCAGTGTCTCTCAGGAACGGGACCGAGTGTGATGGGGGAAGGGAGATCCTATTGGCCACTGCCTCTGGGAGAGGATGGGGTGACTAGGACAGGTGGATCCTAAACACAAGCGATCCATTCAGAATCCCCACACAGTCACACACAGAGACACCCTGCAACTCTCTCTCCCTTGACAGACTTACTTTGAAGACAACCCCAGGGACCTCCAGCTACTGCGCCATGACCTGCCCTTGCACCCCGCTGTGGTGAAGCCTCACCTGGGCCACGTCCCTGACTACCTGGGTGAGCACGGCCTGGGCAGGGCCTGGGCAGACCCTGAGCTGGTGTGGGGTGCAGTCAGTCCTTGGTGCTGTGGGCTGGGCTGACAGGACTATGGAGACTGGGCACACCTGCAGACACACATGGTCCCCAGTACATGCTGCTCTCTGCTGTGGAGACAGTTGGCACAGAGGAGCAAGGAGGGAGCCCCATCCTTATCACATAGAAGCAGAGTCTTTTGCCAGCAGTGTGTGGCTGGCCGGCTAGGGCATCAGGGTATTGCTCAGAGGTCTTCTGATTGTGTGTCCTGGCTGGATGGGGCAGGTAGAGATGAGGGCAGAGGCCAAGGGTCCTGCAGTAGGTTGAGGGAAGCGATGTGCCTGACAGGTGATGGAAGGATGAATGGTAAAGGCTACCAGTTTGGGATGAATTTGTAGTAATAGGGCCACATGTGAAAGAGTCACGCATAGGTGTTTTTTTTCCTATTTTAGCAGCGTTCTCTTCAAGAATGTATCTTTATTTTTTTTCTTACACAATTATTGCAGCAGACTCTATGATGGCAATAGCTGTGTGGTCGCAGGCACTTTAACATGGGACTGGAGTGGGGCCCTGGTCAGAATGGGGGAGAGCCTGCTGGAGAGCCCAGATGGTGTGTGGGTGAGGAGGGGTCGGGTGGCAACTGCCAAATCCTATTTCTTCCAGTTCCTCCTGCTCTTCGTGGCCTGGTTCACCCTCACAAGAAACGAAAGAAGCCATTCCCTAAGAAAGTCAAGGTATGTCCCCCAGGCCTGGATGACAGCTGTGGTCTCTCCCCCACCTTGTTCATTGTCACCAGGGTGTGCACACACCTTGGAGGAGACTGGCCCTAACAACTGGTCAAGACTCCTGGCAACCAGGTCAAAGCCATGGGGGCTGGGACTCCCTCAGCCACCCATATGTGCCTTCAAGAGCAAAGGAGTACCAGCTCTTCTGTCCCCACTGCCCTCCCTGTCCCCAGGCTGCAGGAGGAAGGTGGGGCTTGGCTGCCATCTACAGTGACCACAGCAGCTTCTGTCCTGGGCTCCTGGGCTGTAGGCCCTGTAGGGGCAACACCACCCACTTCCCAGAGTCTGTCTCAGTTTGGGCATTTTCCAGCTGACCTGTGACCTTGCCCTCACAGAAGGTGAAGGCCCAGAACCCACTGCGCAGCTTCAAGCACAGAAGAGAGAGGTGCAGACCCACGGCGGTGCCCTCCTGAGGTTGTCCATGCAGCCTCAGCTGTCCTCCTGGCCTCCTGAGCTGAGCACAGCGGGGAAGCAGGCTTCCCCCTCATGGACAGACGGACTGGATTTCCCTCCCTGGACAGACTGAATTCCACCTTGGACTGATGCACTAGGTTCCGGGGCAGGCAGACTGTGGCCTCCACATCTGTGGTGCTTCCAGGCTGGCATTTTGTGCCTTAAAGACAGAATAAAGGGTCTGGCTGCCTCGTTTTGGGCCTCCTGCAGGTAGTAAGTAACCACCCCCTGACACTGCTTCTGGGAGGCAGTGCCTGGCTCCCTGCCTGCTGCATGCAGGCCTCTATGGGATCAACAGTGTAGCATTGCAGCCTGGGAGACTCCTGCCTGTCCAGGTCTCTTTCTACCCCACACCTGCTCCTGTGGCCTCCTGTTTGGGTTCACACTGACCAGCCTCATGCTGACCAGCCTCTGTCCCCTGAAGCTTGGGAACGACAGTTCACCCACAGGGGAGATGAGCCTCCCTCACCTGGAGCCTGCTGCCTCACCCTCCAGTGGTGCCTAGGTAGATCCAGCCTTCTTTCCTTTGGCTGCTGGGGACACAGTGTCCTGAGCTCCTGGCACTGCTCTGCGCCTATTAGCACTGTTCTGCTGTTTCCAAGCACATGGGTTGGGATGTGATGGGCTCATGTTCGTTCTTTCAGCTGTCTACCCCAAACACCGTTCACACACTCCACCAGGGGGCCAGGGCCATCCCAGGCCCTTTGGGAGCTGGGCGGCACCTAGTTACCTGATTTGAGCTAGAGTGGGCCCTGCCACTTGGTGGGGTTTAAATTAGCCAGGGCTGTGGAGAGAGTCCCTGTGCCCTGAGTGTGCAGAGGGAGGGTGTCCAGGGGCTCAGGCATCTCATTCAGGCCCCACACAGGCCTGTTTACACATGAGACTGAGGCCCTCAGAGGACTTGTGTATCTGATGCTGAAGCCTCTGTCCATAAGGAGCACATGAAGGGTCCCTGTGCCTGGAAAGCAAGGGGTGGGGCCAGCCTGCAGTTACTCAGCCAGCTGAGCAGTAGATAAGCTTGGTGGTTTCTAGGCCAACGAACTGGGACTGATGGCAGGGAGGTAAGAGGAGCTCTATGAGCATCTCCACCCGACTGGTAGTCATGCCCACACCTGAATGGACTCTGTATGCCAGGTGGGTGGGCACAGCCCTTGCATGCAAGCAGTTTTTTGGGAATCAAGAATCAGGCCATTGATGAGTCCCATCTCCTGGAGTCCACAAAGCATCCATCTGTCCTACAACACCTATTGGGGTCGTCCAGGTGCAGGCACTGGGCTGAGGACCAGAGGGAGTGTGGGCAGTGCTAGATGGCCACCACTGTCTGGGATGTCAGGGTACCAACAGGGTTATACAGGGCGCCACCCAGCTGGAGGAGCCAGGGGAAGCAGGCTGTCCGAGCAAGTGAGCCTGGGAAGGTGGGTGGGAACAGCAGACCTGACAGGGTACAGCATGTGGAAATACTGTGGGTGGGAGGGAGCCCCCCACACCTGAGCATGAAAAGAAAAAGTGGTCACAAAAATGAGCGAAGGCTGAGAAACTAACTTGACTTGCTTTTGAAAAGATAACAGTACATGTTCAAAGATACACATAGGTGCAGGTGGTATTTAAGCAGAGGAGTTCCCTGACCAGGTGGCCTGGGGCTGTGATGATAGATGCATGACAGAGTTCCTAGAAACCTCTGGACCCAGAGCATGAGCAGGCTCAGGTGCATTTCCCAGTCAAGCTGATCTCCATCTGCAGAGGATGTGACTCAAGATCAAGTGACTCAGCTTTCCGGCTGTGGTTGGTTTGGGACTTTGGTCCCCAGGGGCATTTCCTCCCAAGGAGGACATGCAGAGGGCTCAAATTTCGAGGGAAGTGCCTCTGCCAAACGTCACCCTCTTTTTTTTCCAGAAAGGTGTTTGGACGTCCTGCCTCCTGGCAGGGGCGCTGTGAGTCACCTGTCCTGTGCTGGTCACAGCCATGGTGGTTTTTGTTGTTGTTCTTTTAAATATATCTTTATTGATTTCAGAGAGAGGAAAGGAGAGGGAGAGAGAGATAAAAACATTAATGATGAGTCATTGATTGAGCCCACAACCCAGGCATGTACCCCGACCAGGAACTGAACCCCGATTGCCTAGATCCTAGGTCGACGCTCAACTGCTGAGTCATGCCCGGCTGGGCTACAGCTTTGTTTACATGAAGAGAAAAGTCATTCACTGGCAGGGGAAAATGCCCAGGCCCAGCTTCCTTCCCGCCATGCTGGGCAGACTCACTCCTCCCAGGACATTCCCAGAGCTTGGTGTTGATTCACCTACAAGCCCACTAGGAAGCAGTGAGTGTGTGGTCACGCTGAGCTAGAGAGCAGGCACATTGAGGGCCTTCAATACCTTTGAATCACAGTGGCTTCTCAATGATGTGTCACCCAGCAGGGCCTGGCAGGACCTGAGAGTCTGCACTCCTAACAGCCTCCTCCCCAGGCTGATGCATCTGGATCCCATAACACATTGCAAGATGAGCTTTAACGTACATACGCCCACCCCATTTTACAGGTGGAGAAATAGGCTCAGAGAGAGAAAGTTGCCAGCCTCACGAACCCAGCTAAGGGGCAGAGTGAAAGGGTGTTCAGGTCTGTGGGCCCTGACCTGGGACCTGAAATGAGAGCTGGGTTCAGCCCTGTCCTGTACCTTCTCAGCCTGTTTTGTCCCTGAGGTGCTGTGATGAGGTGCATACATTTTTAGCATAAGTGTATCCCAATCAATATTTGTGATATACTATAAAGTTACCTGTTGTTTATCTGAAGCAAATCAAGTTGGTGTCTTTGCTAAATTTGGCAAACCTGGAGTGTAGAACCTTTCTTGCCCAGTCACTGCTTCCTCCAGGAAGCCTTCCTGACCCTGAGCCTGGGCGTGGTGCCCTTTTCTCCAGGTGTAAATTGGGGTTGATTTGGTCAATTTCAGGTCTTAGCACAGTAGCACCTGCCTATCGTTCATGCCCAGCCAAGTGGCACACAGCTGTGCACATGACCCTGGAGCAGCTGGCATACAGCTTGTGGAAGCTGGTTTGGGGGTACAAGACCCCATTCTCCAAATACGAATCTGTGCTGTCACGACCAATAGCTGCTTCTGATCACAGAGGTGCAGTCATAGGTGGAGGTAGGGCCACCATTGTTGCAAGATCCTTGCACTTTGGCTCAGGTGACTTCCAGGGCATTTAAAGGGCCAGTGACCTTTTATTCCCTTTTTCATTTTTCACTTTTTGCCTCTTTCAGGAGCCACTGCACAGCCCTGGCTCAGTTGGGTGTCATCCCATGTACCAAAAGGTTACCAGTTGGAGTCCCAGTAAGGGCACGTGCCCGGGATGTGGGCTCGATCCCTGGTGGGAGGTGTGTAGGAGGCAACTGATTGATGTGCTATCACACTGATGTTTCCCTTTCTCTTCCTCTCTAAAAATCAATATAAAATCTTTAAAAACAAACAACCACAGCCAGCCTCGCCGGGTGTGGCTCAACGGTTGAGCATCGACCTAGGATCCGGGAGACCAAGGTTTGATTCCTAGTCAGGGCACATGCCCAGGTTGCAGGCTCAATCCCCAGTTGAGGGTGTGCAGGAGACAGCTGATCAGTGACAACTCTCTCATCATTGACGTTTCAACTCACTCCCTCTCTCTTCCTCTCTCTGAAATCAATAGAGATATAAAACCCCACAAACCATCATTTAAAAAAAACCCACAGCTGAACATACAGGGAAAGTTACAAAGTGACTGCGTGCCCAAGGAACTGCTCAGAAAATACTTGAGAAGACATTAAATTTACACTAGAGGCTGATCCTTTGCACAGAGACAGCCTACAGCAATAAAAAATAAAAGCAATAACAAACCCTGGGGAAGGGTAAGAATTGGATTCCCAGATTTATGTTACTAAATTCAAACGTCCAGTATTTATCAACAAAATCACAAAGTCTACAAAGAAAGGAAAGTATGACCCACTCAAAGGAAAAAAAATAAGCAGAAACTGCCTCTGAAAAAGACCTTAATGGCCCTAGCAAGTATGGCTCGGTTGGAGCATTGTCCCATAAACCAAAAGGTCTCAGATTCAATTCCCCTGATTGGGGCACATGCCTAGCTTGCGGGTTCCATCCCTGGTCAGAGTCCATATGCGAGGCAAGGGGTTGATGTATCTCTCTCACCTTTCCCTCAAATCAAGCATATCCTCGCCCAGCTGGTGTGGCTCAGTGGTTGAGCATTGACCTATGATCCAAGAGATTGTGGTTTGATTCCTGGATGGGACACATGCCCAGGTTGTGGGCTTGATTCCCAGTCAGGGCATGCAGGAGGTGGCCAATCAATGACTCATTATTGATGTTTTTCTCCCTCTCCCTTCCTCTCTCTGGAATCAATGAAAACATTTTAAAAAGCAACAACATATTCTCAAGTGAGGATTTTTAAAAAAGACCTAATGGCAGACATACTAGGCAAAAACTAAAACAGCCATTTTAACGATGCTCGAAGACCTGGAGAGTGGTGTGGACAAGTTCAAGAAAATGTTGTGTGGACATTCTGAATGGGAAAAAATATTGAATGGAAATTTCAATAAGAAATAGGAAACCTAAAAATGAACCAAAAAGGAATTGGGGAGCCAGAAAGTATGATAACTGAAATGAAAAGTTCACTAGAGGGATTCGAAGGCAGATCTGATCGGCACAAGAAAGAATCAGTGAACTTGAAGACAGTACAATGGAAATGATTGAGTCTGAGAAATAAGAAAAGATGGAAGAAAAAGAAAACTGGAACCTAAAGGACCCATGGAACACTTTAAAATGTACCAACATACACATGGGAATCCCAGAAGGAGAACAGGGAAGAGGGCTGAGAATATTTGAAGAATGGCTGGAAACTTCCCATAGTTGATGAACAACAGTCAAGAAACCCAATGAATTCCAAGTAATATGAACTCAGACCCATACCAAGGTACATTATAATCAAAGTTACGAAAGACTAACAGAATCTTGAAAGCAGCAAGAGAGAAGCAAGTCATCACAAGGGATCTTTAAAAAAAAAGATCGGCAAATTTCTCATCAGAAACCTTGGAGAGCAGAATACAGTGGGCTGATATATATAAAGAGCTTAAATTAAAACAACAACAACAAAAACCCACAAGAATCCTATATCTGGCAAAACTTTCCTTCAAAAGTGAGGAACGCCCAGCCAGCATGCC